AAAAATTTTTTTTAGATAGGGGCCCCTAAAAAAAAATTTGCCCCGGGCCCCCGCCAACCTCTGGGCGGCCCTGGACAGTAATATGAGTTTAACTATTCTGCGGGTTGCGGGCTGCGGGCCGAAACTGCGGGCTGCGGGCCAAAAATTGCGGGCTGCGGGCCAAAAATTGCGGGCTGCGGGCCAAAAATTGCGGGCAGCGGGCCAAAAATTGCGGGCTGCGGGCAGAAAAATGCGGGCTGCGGGCAGAAAAATGCTAACACGATAGCAAGCCGCGGGTCTAGTTGCGGGCCTGACGAATTTTTTAAAAAAAATTGTCAAAATGTAAAGAAAATAACAATATTATTCAAAATTTTCTGTCTTTGAAGTATATTCTATGTCTAATGTTATTCGTAATCATATGCATACGAATTTTTCCTTAAATGCATTCTTTTTGTAATATCATGGAATCTCAGTTTATGAGTCGTACCAGACATTAAAACCTGTTTCGACCGGGATAACTGTACACCAATCCTAATAGTAGCACTATTTTCCATCCAGCAAACTGACCTGACGTCATTTTCGGAAGAGAGAAGAGGTGTTAAACCTGTTTTCCACTTCGACCGTATCGTAGCATTTTCTTTTGTGTTGAAATCATTAGTTCCACTCTAGCGCTCAGGAAACAAAGAAATACGCTACGTTTCGGTACACGGCAAAAAACGCCGAGCCCGCTGCTCAACAGGATTGAACAATGTTTTGCTGCCCACATTGTTCTAACATTGTTCACACTTGTCAACAATATTGAACACTATTGTTGAGCCTGAATATTGTTCAATATTGTTGACAGCTATGAACAATGTGGGCAGCAAAACATTGTTCAATCCTGTTTTCATCAGTATTGCATCAACCTGAGCGTTTTTACGCGTGTACGATACGGTTCAAAGTGGAAAGCGGCCTTTAAATGGCTATGTAACTAACACAAACCCTACACCTAGTCCCTACTCTAACCCCTAATCCCAACTCTATCCTGACCCCTACCCTACACCCACCCCACCTCTATTGTGATGTCATTTGAGGACCTTTATATCAACTTCACCTGGAATTGTTTAAGGAGAGCTAATAAAGGGTGAAGTTTATTTTAATACAAGAGTTTTCAAATGACGTCACAAAAACGCGAGGTTGGGGTAGGGTCGTACTGGGGGTGTGGGTAGGCCAGGGCATGTGGGGACTCTTATATGAAACGTCGACCAGAATAATGGTAGAAACTGTTCACGATGTATTCAAAAAGGGGAATGTTAATTAATGCGTAAATTACCCCAATAAAGTATAGTATCATGTGAAGATATAGTGGGGAATCGAAATTGTCAAATATATACTAATGGAATTGCTGTGCATTACACGGAAGAGAAGCTATAGAAACAAGACAATACGCCATGGTTCTGGTTTTCTGCTAATAAATAGCAGTAATTGTTGCACGATTAGACTGTTTATGACGGGAGTGCCAAAATTAGCAATGACTCTATTTTACCTCGCTTACCTCGCTGTAACGTTTACCTCGCTGCATCGAGCCGAATCTTTTTTAATTAAAACAACTTCTGATGTTCATGAACACGGAAAAATCGCTTAACGGCTTGTGTGAAAAAAAAACCCGGAACGACGGCGCATTTTACAAATGACTGGAAGCTCTGGCGTCTCAACTCCGCGATAATTGAAGGTAATAAATTTCAGAGGCTCTGGGAGTCTTCAAATCGCGGTTGGTAACAAGTTTTATTGTGCATGGATATTGGTACTTCAAACCTCCCTTTTTTCAACCATATTAGTCACTGAATCCAGTTAGGAGCCACTTTTGAGAAATTTAAAGTCGAATTTGATATGTGTACAAAGCCGTATTTGGACTTGGTGCTTGTTATCGCTAAAGTTTGCCATAATAGTTTTGTAAAAGCATCATAAAATCAGGTAAGTTTCAAAGTAGAATAACTTTCACGTGCGTGGACGAAAAAATCATAAAACATTGTGAAAGTAACGAAGACTTTTGTTTGATATTTTAATATATTTCATGTTATTTACAAAATGTACTGTAGTTTTGAAGTTTTGCACACAATATAGTATATATTGATAGCGTAGCCAGGCTTCACGATATAAATATTAAAAACGACTGCATGATAAATAATCATTCATTTTATGATTAACAGTATTTTATTGCGACCACAACTGCTCCAGAATCACAACAAATAACAGAATATAAGGAAAATTAAAACCTGCAAAGCTTTATCTACCTTGATCTATTTTTAAAGGCGCTCAATTATGTAAATTTCCCGCGAACACTCAAACATTTTTCTTTGCCTTTCATCGAGCATGAGTGATGAAATGCTCGTCGGAAAAACTCGGTATTTGTCGTATTTTACGAATTTGCCACGTGACCGGTACGCTCACCAATGAAAGTTGCATGCCATATATGGCATGCAACAAAAAATTAGTTAGCCCAGCAATTTGGCCCGCGGCCCGCAATTGTTTTAACCCGCAGCCCGCAAAAACTGACCCGCAGCCCGCAAAAACTGACCCGCAGCCCGCGGCCCGCAAAATAGCTAGACCCCAGTAATATATAAGGAAGTGATAAAACTAGTTATTAGATAATAGTTATTATTATTGAATGTTGTGGCTAAAATTTTTGCGAAAGTTTTTGTTTTATATTATATTGGATTATTCCTTTGATTGCATGTATATTCCTCTTGTTTACTTTAATTTCGAGAATTTGAGCATACTAAATTATGTTTCGCAAATATTGTTTGCTTTATGTTCCGATACACAGGAAATGAAATTAGTTCAGCCGTCATAGGCGTACGGGCGGGAAAAAATCAGGGAGCCAGAAAGAAATTTACCCGACTTTTACCCACTGAATAAAATTTTCCGTGTAACTAAATTTCCAAAATTGTCGTTGGGAAGTAGACAAAAATATTTTCCTATTTGTCGATTCCTCGTTACTTTTACATATTTCTGGTATTTTCAAATACCATATTGCATGTACTGTCTTCTTTTTAAATTTATTTCCCCCAATTTTTGCCCGAATATATACGTTTATAATTTGCATGACTTTATTTTGACTGGGGGCGGGACTGCCTCCCCCCCCCCCTCGCCCGTACGGCTATAATCAGCCGTTGTTACGGATTGTTATATATTGTGTTAAAAATATTTTGACCCCCCAATGTGTTGTTTCTGATGACATTGCCGACTCTCGACTTTTTACTCTCGATCGACTCTCGACTTTTTACTCTCGACTCTCGACTTTTTACTCTCGACTCTCGACTTTTTACTCACGACTCTCGACTTTTACTCTCGACTCTCGACTTTTACTCTCGACTCTCGACTTTTACTCTCGACTCTCGACCTTTACTCTCGACTCTCGACCCTCGACTTTTAGATACACTCCCTCTAAGATTTTCGTAAATTTTTTAAAATCAGCATTTTTTAAAATCTGTTTCCACGTTTTTCTCCATAT